AAAAAAAAAAAAAAGAAGATGGTCCCAAAATGGATAAGTGAGAAAAGCAATGCAATATTAAATAATCAAATTATAAAGTAATAAAATAATTAAATGGTAATTAATCATAATTAATGATGAGTGCCACCAACATACATACATCAACTCTTCCAATCTAAACCTAACTCCCTTCCCCCTACAACCAACCACACACTTTACATTCATTATCATAACCCTAATATCTTAATCATTTTCCCTTTACTCCCCTATTCAATATTTCAATATACTCCCTATTCTTTTAACAATTTTCAACATTCTCTAACAATATTTCAATATCATTGTTTTCGGGTCGGTTCGTAGGTTGACATTTTTCTGATCAGGTCAACTCAACCAATCCAATAATTTTTTTAAGATTATTGTGAAGATTAAGAATATTGGATGTTTAGAACCGATGTTAATGATGTGTTATGACGTGTAAATATTTTATATTTGAGTTTTATGAGATTTTAGTTATTAATATAACTTATATTTGTGAATAAGTATGATTGTTTAAAATAATTAAAAAAAAAAAAAAAAAAAAAAAAGAAGTTATCAGATTACCTATCCAATCCATTAATCATGAATCTTAACCATAAAGATATTTTGGAGAAAAATTCATATATGAGAGTGACCTTTTTTATTGAATGAGTAACAAATTTACAACTAGTTATGCAACATATTCATGAGAAAAGGAGAGGAAAGGAAGGACTGCGCATACAGTAACTTAACAAAACAGATATGATGAAGAGTAATCGATATGACAAATTGCTCAATTGTTAAGGACAAAACAACATGGTCAATGATCATTCCAACGAACTACGTTGAATTGAATCTACTACATAAAGACATATGTTCAAGAACATACCAAGTTTAATTTTTAAGACAAAATGCTACATTCATCAAGTCAAAGTGTAACCTTAAGATGATGTACTGAAGCATGAAATAAAGTTTTTTTTGTTTAAATCTTTGATCTTTTTTAAGAGATCAAACTATCATGGAGAAAAATGAAAGAATAAACAAAGGCATACAAAAAAAAAACAAACCCAACAAGACAGTCCCACAAAACTACAAAAAGACCTAGTGACTGATGCTCACGAGGAGGCATTGAACCTCACCACCTCCCAAACCTCATCACAAGACAGCTCCCCATCTATACTCGTTGCTCTACTATTAAAGTTTAACAAAGAATGATATGAAAACAAAAGTGCATTAATCCATCAGGATAATTGTTAGAAGCTAAAGAAGGCGAGTGAAAAAACATACTGAAGATTTCTCTTAAATGACCCTCATGGACATTCCTACTCAGTGCATCAATGTGAAGAACAAGTGACTCGCGTACAGGTGATGGTTTCCTGAAATCAATAGAAACAGTTTGAAAAACAAAATAGATATATAGATGACTGACAGACAAGGAAAATATCACCAAAAGAAAACAGTGGATGTAAATCGTTGATTTACAAATGCGTGACTAAAGGAAATATTTATATAAAAAAAATACATGACTAGGGGAAATATTAATATAAACAAAATGCATATGACAATTTCGAAATGGTCAATTACATAAAAATTGTAAGTCATCATAGATAACTAAAGATAAAATTTACAATTGCAAGATAATTAATGGAAATAGAGTATTGTTTATTGATTAAAAGTTGTAAACAATGCAATAGCTACACAACAGTTCTGAAGAAATACTGAATTAAAATAATTACAGCATTGTATTTCCTAAGATTTATTTCTGTACCAAAAGGCCGGCGCATAAAAAACCGCGCCAAAGCAAAAATGATCGACTTATCGGAAAATTCATGCCATGAACAAATAATGAAGTTGGATTTGACTGTAGATGGAGATGTTATTGCCTGGGTGGTGGAGAACTTCGTTTAGCTGGTGGAGGTGAAGCGCGAGTCCTCCGAGCTGTTTCAGTAGAACTGGAAGAAAAAAAAACGAAAATGTGATTTCGACGTACGATGCTAATGATTTCACGAATCATAAAATGCCTAATTCTGATACTTCCTCTCACACTAACAAACAATAAGCACCAAATGCAGGAGCCAAAAATGAAAAATGCTAGTTCAAGCGAAAGAAAGACGAACCTCTTTCTCTGAGGAGGGGGACTTCGGCTCCGAGAACTAGCACTGCGGGAGGGAGACGAAGACGAGGAAATGGACCTGGAATGGGACACAGATACAGACCGTGACCTGGAGCGTGAGCGGGAACTGGAGCGGGAATCAGAGCCGGAGTATGAGCGGGAACGTGAAGAGGATCCCGATCTCGACGGAGGTGAGCGACGGCCTCTGCTTGGTTTCGCCATGGCCAGCAAGAGCTGCAAGAATTGGAACCCTAGCTTAAACCCGTCTGGTATCGTTCGAGATTAGAGATAGTGAAAGGAGAAGCAACACAAAAAAATGGTCGACACGTAAATGACGAAAACATGAGAGAGAGAAAACAAAGTACTTTTTGTTTCTCTTTTATATATATATATATATATTTAAAGTTTAATGATATTTTAAAATAAAATACTAATTATTTTTATAAAAAATATTTTTTATTTTTTTTATTTTCATATTATCAAAACCTTTAAACAAAATTAATAAATAATAATTCTAATAAAATAAAAAACATTACGATATTTTTATTAATTTAGTCTTAAAAAAATAATTAAATTACAGTTTTAGCTGTATAAGTCTCCTTAATAACCACTTATTTTTTAAAAAATATTTTCTTAAAATAAATGTTTAATTTTTTAATTAAATATCAAATACAAAAATACATTTTTAACCTTCTTTTTTATTTTTTAAAAGGTCGTTTTTATATAAAAATACGAATAACTTTATAAGCTTAATTTAAAAAAATTGAAAATTTAAAAATTAAAGGTCTATTTTGTGAATACGAAAGTCTGTACTTCCACCCCTTTCTCCTATGTGGAGTCACAGGTAGCACTTCGAGAAGCACGTATGAGACACATGTAGAGTAACTTGCACGTGTGGTTCTCGTCGAGGATTCCGATATACTATACTAATATGTGTAGGTCACTGTAATTTGAGTGAGATTGTTATGGTGCAAAAGCAGGTATGGTCGATCTGGTATTCCATTGTTCCCTATTTTGATTATGTTCTTTATTTCTCGTATAGCATAAACTAATCGAGCTCTGTTTGATCTCCTAAAAGCGGAAGCTAATATAGAATAGCACGGGAAGTGATCCTTAATAGTCCACTATTGACAAAAGCCAATATCTCGAGATCCCGAGGACTCGTTCCGAAACAAAGACCAACAAAGATTGCTTCCGACTTTTAAGCTCAAAAGATACAGTTAATTCAGTTTGAGCAGCAGTTAAATACTTTCTTTCCAGAGTTCATGTAAATTTACATTGAAACATGAAGAAAAAGAGACCAGAAAAGTTAAACATACAGCCATAACAGTGCAGAATAATGTGCATTTGTTCGTAGTAGACGATCTTACGAGCACGATCTATTTCAGCTCTTCCATGGAAACAGAAGCATCCGAACGTCGTCTCTTAGCTTCGTGATCACCCAAGTGCAAGGAAACGGAGATGTCTTCGCAGTTGCTCCGGAGCGAAGACAGGTTCTGGGAAACAGCACGACCCAGAGTGCTGTTTGAAAGGGAGGGAGAGCAACTAAAAAGGCTTGGAATGAACTGATGTTCGACGTTGGGAGCTGTGCTCGTCCCAGCTTCGAGATGAAACTCGGTCTCGAGGAGTGGTCGGTCTTTAGCTGAAGAAGGTTCTACTTCTGTTGGCATATGCTGGATTTGGAAACCCAATGGCTCAAACTTCTCTTCACTTTTATCCTTTGGCAGCGTTGTGTCGGGAGGAGAGGAGTCTCCGACAATCGACCCGATAACTGTTGCCGAGACGGTTCTTTGTTCTTGCACTGCTGCTGCTTATAGCAATATAGAAACAGAACAAAAACATTCATCAGAACACATCTATCATTATGTGATCTACAATGGAGTTTTATCAAACGCGCCGTGCGCGAGCGAAACGAGTTAACCTACACAAAAGAAAGACAACTAACCTTTAAACCCGTCATCAGTTGTGATTAGATCAAGTTCAAGCAGATTGAGAAGGCGCCCGAGATCGACCCCACTTGTCCAATTCTCAGGAGGTTGGCCTACTTTTAACTTAAGCCGACCTCGGTTAGCAGTTCCACCCCATATAATCCCGATTGGTTGCAAACTCTCTCGATTTTCACCCTTTAAAATGATGAGGCTTCCGCTATCTCCTTCGAGATCAAAAGTCTGTTGATTCTCACCAACGACGAGAAAATCGGTTAAGAAGCATATTCCTTTCTCGTCATTGTACTCGAGAGCATAGGCCAAAACAGTTCCGGTAGTCAAGCCCGAACTTCTTCCGACTTTCACGACCTGCTTCCCTATGAGGGTACTGATAGGCGACTGCAAGTCGATAAACTTCACATCACCGACCTCTCCCACACCTTTTACAGATGTAGTGACGGTCGACATGTCGAAATCATCAGCAAAAGGAATAAACGCCCCATCTGCCCTGACGAACGTCTCTGCAATTTAACAAAACTAGAATAAGTGCGTCGGGTTACCACACGTTTAGATTGATGAAATGAAACAACAGAGTGAAGTGTATTAAGCAAATTGTAACAACCCAAAGAGCACATCGGTTAGGGAGGAAAACAAAACATTCTTTATAAGGGTGTGGAAACCTCTCCCTAGTAGACGCGTTTTAAAAATCTTGAGGAAAAGCCTAAAGAGAACAATATCTGCTAGCGGTGGACTTGGGTTGTTACAAATGGTATTAGAGCCAAACATCGGGCAATGTGTCAGCGAGGAGGTTGAGCCCCGAAGAGGGGTGGACACGAGGCGGTGTGCTAGCAAGGACACTGGGTCCTAAGGGGGGTGGATTGGGGGTCCCATATCGATTGGAGAAGGGAACGAGTGCCAGCAAGGACGTTGGGCCCCGAAGAGGAGTGGACTGTGAGATCCCACATTGGTTGAAGAGGAAAACTAAACATTCTTTATAAGGGTGTGGAAACCTCTCCCTAGCAGACGTGTCTCAAAAATATTGAGGAAAAGCCCGAAAAAGAAAGCCTAAAGAGGACAATATCTGCTAGCGGTGGACTCGGGTTGTTATAAATGGTATCAAAGCCAGACACCGGGCGATGTGCCAGCAAAGAGGCTGAACTCTAAAAGGGGATGGACACGAGGCGGTGTGTCAACAAGGACTGCCAGGGCTATTTTATTTTGGCAGCACAAGGATCATTACCTGGATTTATTCCAGCAAAAATTCCATACCAAAGCTCATCAGTGATGAACGAAGTAGCTCTCTCAACGGCACCGAGATACACCCCCGGCCCAAGCGTTGGTGGTAGAGGATGAAACATCTTCTGATTCGGATAATCCAAATCAACTGCAACGTGACGGTTCGTGAGAAAACCAACTTGTCGACTGCCCGTTTGACTCCTTACGATAGCACCCAAGGTCCCATAAGTCTCCTGGCTAGCCACCTGATGAGAAGTAGAGTCAATTTTACTGATACAATTATAACTTTGTTGATCAGAAGCCATGCCTCAGATGGCGAGGCCCCCTAAAATCTCCATTTCACCAAAAAGGAAGTGAAAATGAACAAACGCTACCAACTTTTGAACTATTGACAATGCCATTGGAGCTAACCATTTGGGTCCAATACTCACAAAAGTTGCTATCGGTTCAAACGGTTGGTCACGGTCATGCTTGTCCAAGGCGTGTTGCCTATGGCCGCATGACGGATGTCCCGGTCTTGCTTGTCCATGGTTGCATGCCCGTTCCAAACCCCTTTTACATGCTTTCATCCTAGATAGGCCTTCACCATTTCACATTGGGTCAATACGGAGGTGTATGACCGTTCACCAAAACCATGTCTACACCCGCCAGGGCTAAAATGACCCAAAATGTACTATAGGGGGACATGACTAGTTGTCACGTTATATGCTATTCAACCAATGGTATTTCTTTATTTGCTTATAGTCATATAACGTTGCTTTCTTCAATTCTTCCAATCGGTTTCAAATGTATTTCCTCGCTCACATTTTCTAAACCTTTTCTCACAACGTGACTCAAGGCCCGAACACACGCCAACGTCGTTCGCGACGTCCGAGTTTCTCACGCTTGACTTGTTCGCTTGGTTAGAACAAGTGCCGTACAATCGTTTTTCCGCTATTGCAAGGGTGCGATTGTGACACTATGCATGTTTAGAGGCACACTTTGGACTTAGGACACATATCTCAATTTCGAGTATATAAAACGACTTCTTCACGTAGTAACATTAGCAAAGATTACAACAGGGAAGTGCCAACACGTAAGCGAAAAAAAGTATGGCGTCTTGATATTAAATTCGGGTCCAAACCAAGATGATCTTGGAGGATCCCTGCATCTCTAAAGCTCGTCTCTCACATGAATTGCCCGTTACCGCTCGTTCATTACGAGGTCTTTTTCATTCAATTCAAGAACTTTATATTTCATATAAATGCAAGTTTTCAGGTCACTAGTTGCAAAGAAACATGAATGTACCTGAGAACCAGAGCCAATGCATAGATCAGAGCCACGCAGGTCATCGACAATTTCGGTGTATAGCTGTTCTTTAGGAGCAGGGTTGGGTGCACCAAAATACGAGAATTCTACGACATCGACATCGCACCACACACCTCCCGGCCCCTGAAACAAAAAAAGGAATTCAGAATGAAACTTTGTACAGCTACTTCGCAACCAACGCAAAACGACTTCTTCAAACCTCCAACGCGGTGGGAAGGCATTGAATAGGACTAAGCCATTGCTTATGAACTTTCCTGGAAACAAAAACAAGAATAGCAGGAATGTCGGTCAGCACGCCCTTTTGGATACGGAATCCAATTGCCGTTCCGAGACTGTAACAACGTAGGATCTTGCTATGGAAGGCTCGTATTGTCATGAGCTCAAGTAACGTGGTGGCTCGCTGCCCTTTTGGTAATGGATGAAGGATATCTGGTAGCACCCCTTTTTGAAGATTTGCGAAGTAGTTTGCCCTCTCCTCGGCTGCAACGCTTAATCGGATGGGGGTCGGCCATGAAAAGTAAGCTGCATTGCTCTCACAATGCTGTCCAGCTGATGCAAATGGCTGAAGTGTAGGTGGACTGAAGGAAGGTAAATTAGAGTGACCGTAGCAATTCCTTTCAAGATCCAGAGCTGATTCCTCGGATGGTGTCGAACCAGAGCAGTTAATCCTGCTGTTGTGTCTTGTCTGCTCCATTATGCAGTTCACCTATGATGCAATTAGCAAAAGTTTAAAATAAAAGAACCAAATTCTGAACAGGAAGATAGCCCCTACAACAATCATTAAGTGGATAAAACTAACGAACGAGGATCCATAACGTGTCAAATCCGTAGACCGTATTGTCCAGAATCAGAACTGTAACAGTCCAAGTCTACCGCTAGCAGAT